CATGTGCATGTGCATGTGCATGTGCATGTGCATGTGCATGTGCATGTGCATGTGCATGTGCATGTGCATGTGCATGTGCATGTGCATGTGCATGTGCATGTGCATGTGCATGTGCATGTGCATGTGCATGTGCATGTGCATGTGCATGTGCATGTGCATGTGCATGTGCATGTGCGTGTGCATGTGCATGTGCATGTGCATGTGCATGTGCATGTGCATGTGCATGTGCATGTGCATGTGCATGTGCATGTGCATGTGCATGTGCATGTGCATGTGCATGTGCATGTGCATGTGCATGTGCATGTGCATGTGCATGTGCATGTGCATGTGCATGTGCATGTGCATGTGCATGTGCATGTGCATGTGCATGTGCATGTGCATGTGCATGTGCATGTGCATGTGCATGTGCATGTGCATGTGCATGTGCATGTGCATGTGCATGTGCATGTGCATGTGCATGTGCATGTGCATGTGCATGTGCATGTGCATGTGCATGTGCATGTGCATGTGCATGTGCATGTGCATGTGCATGTGCATGTGCATGTGCATGTGCATGTGCATGTGCATGTGCATGTGCATGTGCATGTGCATGTGCATGTGCATGTGCATGTGCATGTGCATGTGCATGTGCATGTGCATGTGCATGTGCATGTGCATGTGCATGTGCATGTGCATGTGCATGTGCATGTGCATGTGCATGTGCATGTGCATGTGCATGTGCATGTGCATGTGCATGTGCATGTGCATGTGCATGTGCATGTGCATGTGCATGTGCATGTGCATGTGCATGTGCATGTGCATGTGCATGTGCATGTGCATGTGCATGTGCATGTGCATGTGCATGTGCATGTGCATGTGCATGTGCATGTGCATGTGCATGTGCATGTGCATGTGCATGTGCATGTGCATGTGCATGTGCATGTGCATGTGCATGTGCATGTGCATGTGCATGTGCATGTGCATGTGCATGTGCATGTGCATGTGCATGTGCATGTGCATGTGCATGTGCATGTGCATGTGCATGTGCATGTGCATGTGCATGTGCATGTGCATGTGCATGTGCATGTGCATGTGCATGTGCATGTGCATGTGCATGTGCATGTGCATGTGCATGTGCATGTGCATGTGCATGTGCATGTGCATGTGCATGTGCATGTGCATGTGCATGTGCATGTGCATGTGCATGTGCATGTGCATGTGCATGTGCATGTGCATGTGCATGTGCATGTGCATGTGCATGTGCATGTGCATGTGCATGTGCATGTGCATGTGCATGTGCATGTGCATGTGCATGTGCATGTGCATGTGCATGTGCATGTGCATGTGCATGTGCATGTGCATGTGCATGTGCATGTGCATGTGCATGTGCATGTGCATGTGCATGTGCATGTGCATGTGCATGTGCATGTGCATGTGCATGTGCATGTGCATGTGCATGTGCATGTGCATGTGCATGTGCATGTGCATGTGCATGTGCATGTGCATGTGCATGTGCATGTGCATGTGCATGTGCATGTGCATGTGCATGTGCATGTGCATGTGCATGTGCATGTGCATGTGCATGTGCATGTGCATGTGCATGTGCATGTGCATGTGCATGTGCATGTGCATGTGCATGTGCATGTGCATGTGCATGTGCATGTGCATGTGCATGTGCATGTGCATGTGCATGTGCATGTGCATGTGCATGTGCATGTGCATGTGCATGTGCATGTGCATGTGCATGTGCATGTGCATGTGCATGTGCATGTGCATGTGCATGTGCATGTGCATGTGCATGTGCATGTGCATGTGCATGTGCATGTGCATGTGCATGTGCATGTGCATGTGCATGTGCATGTGCATGTGCATGTGCATGTGCATGTGCATGTGCATGTGCATGTGCATGTGCATGTGCATGTGCATGTGCATGTGCATGTGCATGTGCATGTGCATGTGCATGTGCATGTGCATGTGCATGTGCATGTGCATGTGCATGTGCATGTGCATGTGCATGTGCATGTGCATGTGCATGTGCATGTGCATGTGCATGTGCATGTGCATGTGCATGTGCATGTGCATGTGCATGTGCATGTGCATGTGCATGTGCATGTGCATGTGCATGTGCATGTGCATGTGCATGTGCATGTGCATGTGCATGTGCATGTGCATGTGCATGTGCATGTGCATGTGCATGTGCATACGGTGAACTTCTTCCTTGAGTGCCCTGATCACCTTTAAAATACTTTTCTGCTTTTCTGCAATTCTTTCATCCTTAGAAGAGGTCACTAGTCTCGGATGTAGCTCAGACACTTTACTCAATTCAGTCTTTAAGGCACTTAATTTACACAAAATAGAGTGCTGCTGATCTTTCACATCTACCACACTCTCCATATCTTTTTCCTGTTATATATCAAAAGCAATACATGAATACAAATGAGAAAATTAAAACATTAATTATGTAATATTGGTAATCTTATCACACATGTAATATATGTGCATATCAACTTGCTACCAAAAATTATTAGCTATGAAGTCTCTTGATAACTATATATAATAATTAAAATGATAATGATAATGATAATTAACAAGGGTTATTAACCTGCTCAATGTCGTGGAATTGCAAAGAACCAAGTTCTCGAAGATGATCTGTGACGGCAGCCATCACCTTCAGTACTATGGCCTGTTTCTCTCCGACACTTGGCTAAATGTATTATTCATAAGCATTCAACACTTCATTTTTGTGCTACTATACATATGGATAACAGTTAGAAATTGAAGGGAGTCAAAAATCTATATCAGAAAAGGACCACACACACAAAAACAAGCATAAAAAAATACATATATAAATATAAATATATTAAAAAAGTACTTATATAAATATAAATATATAAAAAAAACATTTTATATATTTATACATATATTAAAAAAGTACTTATATAAATATAAATATATTAAAAAAGTACTTATATAAATATAAATATATTAAAAAAGTACTTATATAAATATAAATATATTAAAAAAGTACTTATATAAATATAAATATATTAAAAAAGTACTTATATAAATATAAATATATTAAAAAAGTACTTATATAAATATAAATATATTAAAAAAGTACTTATATAAATATAAATATATTAAAAAAGTACTTATATAAATATAAATATATTAAAAAAGTACTTATATAAATATAAATATATTAAAAAAGTACTTATATAAATATAAATATATTAAAAAAGTACTTATATAAATATAAATATATTAAAAAAGTACTTATATAAATATAAATATATTAAAAAAGTACTTATATAAATATAAATATATTAAAAAAGTACTTATATAAATATAAATATATTAAAAAAGTACTTATATAAATATAAATATATTAAAAAAGTACTTATATAAATATAAATATATTAAAAAAGTACTTATATAAATATAAATATATTAAAAAAGTACTTATATAAATATAAATATATTAAAAAAGTACTTATATAAATATAAATATATTAAAAAAGTACTTATATAAATATAAATATATTAAAAAAGTACTTATATAAATATAAATATATTAAAAAAGTACTTATATAAATATAAATATATTAAAAAAGTACTTATATAAATATAAATATATTAAAAAAGTACTTATATAAATATAAATATATTAAAAAAGTACTTATATAAATATAAATATATTAAAAAAGTACTTATATAAATATAAATATATTAAAAAAGTACTTATATAAATATAAATATATTAAAAAAGTACTTATATAAATATAAATATATTAAAAAAGTACTTATATAAATATAAATATATTAAAAAAGTACTTATATAAATATAAATATATTAAAAAAGTACTTATATAAATATAAATATATTAAAAAAGTACTTATATAAATATAAATATATTAAAAAAGTACTTATATAAATATAAATATATTAAAAAAGTACTTATATAAATATAAATATATTAAAAAAGTACTTATATAAATATAAATATATTAAAAAAGTACTTATATAAATATAAATATATTAAAAAAGTACTTATATAAATATAAATATATTAAAAAAGTACTTATATAAATATAAATATATTAAAAAAGTACTTATATAAATATAAATATATTAAAAAAGTACTTATATAAATATAAATATATTAAAAAAGTACTTATATAAATATAAATATATTAAAAAAGTACTTATATAAATATAAATATATTAAAAAAGTACTTATATAAATATAAATATATTAAAAAAGTACTTATATAAATATAAATATATTAAAAAAGTACTTATATAAATATAAATATATTAAAAAAGTACTTATATAAATATAAATATATTAAAAAAGTACTTATATAAATATAAATATATTAAAAAAGTACTTATATAAATATAAATATATTAAAAAAGTACTTATATAAATATAAATATATTAAAAAAGTACTTATATAAATATAAATATATTAAAAAAGTACTTATATAAATATAAATATATTAAAAAAGTACTTATATAAATATAAATATATTAAAAAAGTACTTATATAAATATAAATATATTAAAAAAGTACTTATATAAATATAAATATATTAAAAAAGTACTTATATAAATATAAATATATTAAAAAAGTACTTATATAAATATAAATATATTAAAAAAGTACTTTATTATAAAAAGTATATAAATTATTAATGAAAGTTTTCTCTGTTATATATACTAATCATTGAATAGCATTTGGTACTTACAAGCTTTTAAAGCCTATAGAATCAATGAAGCAAAATCATATATTTTCTTTGAAAGCACAGTAAAAAAAAAATCATGCTGAAAGAAAATATTCCATGACATCACAAGCAAGGTGATAAAGTCCTCTGACACACATATCAAGCAAACCAGATTATAAGGGATCTTTCCCCACTCTTTATCGGAAATCAATTTCTCCCCCCAATGTAATGTCCACTTTCAAGGGAATGTAACAAGGAAAAGTGCAAAACAAACAATATGAGCTGAAAGTAC